GGAATTTTAAAGCTTGAAGTTTCAACTTTAAAATCCTGTCAACGATTTATTTAAATATGGTCATCTTCCTCGTTCTATGCTTTAAAAACGAATACCTTGTTTTGTTCCTTAAAATTGCGTACATTTGACACATTGCAGCTCAATAAAAAAATTCCTCTGGATAAATTCGATACAAGTTCCACAATCTACAACATTTTACCTACAAAATGTTATTTTTAAATTTTCCTACCATTTTTTTGACAGAGTTACATGACTTCGAATCGAACCATGTATTTTCTTAAAAAATTATGTTTACCGCCGGCATCAGCGTTACCCAATGCGCACTACGTGGAGGTTGCCTCCACTACGATGATTTTTCGCCGTTTCAGTGGTTTGAAAATAGCCCAATTTTTAGGGTATGAAAAGTGTTCCCTATTTCTTTTTAGCAGTGTATATATATTTTTCTTTCATAGGTTCTAGGTGATCTAAGTACATTATGTTGGAGAGAGAACAGTCTATCTGTCGAGTCGCGTCGTGAGGATTTGGTGCGAGTGATTTACTCATCCATCAATTTTAAAGACGTGATGTTAGCGACTGGTAAAATCTTTACCCAAAGTAACCCTCGAGGACGATTATATCAAAATATACCCCTTGGACTGGAGTATGTCGGATTCGATACTGATGGGCAACGTGTAATGGGAATCTGTGAAACTGAGTAAATAATGCTTCAAAAGATAATCATGTTGTGTAATACGATAGAATTGAAACAAAACGAAGATTATTCTTTCTAGCTGTATAGCAAACGTTATTGTAAAAAACAAAGAGTTCTGCTGGAAGATACCTGATGCATGGACATTTGAAGCAGCGGCGACAGTTCCATCGGTATACAGTACAGTTTACTTAGCCTTGTACGTTCTTGGAAAAATAAGAAAAGGCAAAAAGATACTTATACACTCTGGTACTGGCGGCATTGGACAAGCAGCCATTCACCTCGCTCTCAAAGAAGGATGTGAAGTGTTTACCACCGTGGGTACAAACGACAAACGGAATTTTATTAAGAAGATATTTCCGACCATTCCGGAGAATCATATTGGAAATTCAAGGGACACCAGCTTTGAACAAATGATAATGCGAGAAACGAATGGTCGCGGCGTTGATATCGTGTTAAATTCATTGTCGGATGAAAAGTTAATCGCATCTGTTCGTTGTTTAGCACAAAATGGTCAATTTCTGGAGATTGGCAAATTTGACCTTATTTCTAACAATCCTCTAGATATTTCTCTGTTTCATAAAGGTATTGCATTCCATGGCGTTTTCTACGACCAACTGTATAGTAGCAATCACAAGTACAAATCACTAGTGCACAAAATGGTAGCCGATGGTCTTAGAGATGGAACCATCCAACCAATTCAAGCAAAAATTTTTCAGAAAACAGAAATCGAAGAAGCCTTTAGGTACATGGCAAGTGGAAAACATACGGGAAAGGTATGCTAGTATTGATTAATAGTAGCTCACAGAGAATTATTCACAATAGAAGCCTATAACGGAAAGCCGTTTTACACATATAACATGAATTTTAAACATATGAATATTTTTTTAGATAATTATAAATATACAGGAACCGGATAAACCTTTAGACAAGCCCATTTTTGCATATCGTCGCTATTACTGTCTCAGAAATAAAAATTACATTATACTAGGAGGTTTAGGTGGATTTGGTTTAGAGTTAACCAACTGGCTGATACTTCGAGGCGCCAGAAATGTTGTGCTGATATCGCGAACTGGAATAAAAAACGGGTATCAACGCATGAAAGTTCGCCTTTGGAAGTCGTACGGTGTAAATGTGCTGATCGTGAAAGACATCAATGTCGCTGATCCCAAAGATTGCGAATACCTCTTGCAAACTGTCGAAAGGGATGCACCGGTGGACGCGATATTCAATCTCGGAGTGGTGCTGAAGGACGGCATCTTGATGAATCAAACCGCGAAGACTTTCACGGAATCCTTCCAATCGAAGGCTCGTGCAACACAGGCATTAGACAAACTTTCCAGAAAGATCTGCCCGACACTGCGGCACTTTGTAGTGTTCTCTTCCGTTTCTTGCGGCAGAGGAAACGCTGGACAGACTAATTATGGCATGGCCAACTCCATCATGGAGAGAGTGTGCGAGAAAAGGGTAGAGGAAGGATTACCCGGACTGGCAATTCAGTGGGGAGCCGTGGGTGACGTGGGTCTGGTCGCTGACATGCAGGAAGATAATAAGGAACTGATTATCGGCGGCACTTTGCAGCAAAAAATATCTAGCTGTCTCGACGAGCTTGATAACTTTTTAATTCAAAGCCGACCAGTTGTGAGTAGCATAGTCGTAGCTGAAAAGAAATCGATATCTCTCGGGCTTGGGAATCTGGTAGAAACTGTCGCCAATATTTTAGGTACATGCTCCAATGCAAATTTAATTCTCGTACACATACTTAATACATTTCTCTGTAAAATACCAGTTTATTAATAACACATTATGATATAAATCAGAATAATATTTTCTGTTACAGGCATCAAAAGTATGAAGAATGTGAGTCCAACTTTATATTTGCCCGAACTTGGAATGGACTCCATGATGGTCGTGGAAATTAAGCAAACTCTGGAACGCGAATTCGACATATTTTTCTCTGCGCAAGAGATACGAAATCTTACTTTTACCAAGCTCAGTGAGATATCCAATGCAAGTGCAGATAATACGCAGGATGTAAATAAACTGGATATTGAGCAGCGAAACTTGAAATTTTTAATTGGTGTTATAAAAGACAAAGATTTCATTTCAGAAACTTGTTTAGATTTCTCGACTAAAAGACAGAAAACTACAACCGAAGTATTTCTCATACCAGGTATCGACGGATGTGGAACTGTATTCAGTCATTTAGGGCCAAATATTAACTTCTCAGCAAGGGCCCTGTGTCATTATACAAACAACATCGATGCTACAGACATTATATCAGAAACGAGTGATCATCTTATAAACGTAATCAGTAATTTTATATTCTATTGAACAAAGAAGTGTTTTTATTTAAGAGACATAAAGTTCATCAGATTTCAATATTCTTACAGCATATATTACCAAAACTGACAGCTGGAAAAGATTTCATAATGGTAGGGTACTCCTTCGGGTCTATTATCGCAATTGAACTAACGAGGAGATTGGAAGCTATGAATTTTAAGGGACGGCTTATTCTCATCGACGGTGCTCCTGAGCAATTACGAACACTATACCAAAAGTACAGTGTTGCAAGTTTGGATAATACAGACTTCCAGAATATTGTTTTAATCAATATTATGGAAATTTATTCAGCAGGAGATACTGAAAAAGTATACTTGTTTCTTGAGCTTGAAATTATTTTAACCTTTCTTACATTTAAACATATTTTAATCTTCTTTGTGTGGTAGTACCAGTATCAATTTTATTACTCTTTCTTACAATATTTGGTTTTAAAAGTCTATTTTATATTTCCAAGTTACTTATTTATAAATACAAACTTTCTTAAGAGAATAAAATGCAATTTGGTAGATTCTAACGGAACTGAAGAAATATAAGACCTGGGAAGAGAAATTTAGTATCTTCGCCAAAGAATTTTTAGCTACGAACACGTCTCTCTCACTCGAAAATTTAAAAACACTGTGCACGACAGCTTATAAACATGCATCAGCTATTCCGCAATATGATTCTTCTACGCTGACACCTATAAAGTCTTCCATAATGTTGTTAAAAGCTACGAACCCGTTGCTTAGATCCGTGATTGAAGAGGATTATGGTTTGCAGAAGGTATCTTTTAAACACTACGCTAATCTGTATTTGATAATAAGTTTCAAATTTCAACAAATTATTTGTTACTAACATACATAATTATTTAAGATAACTCAAAATGTGGTGAAAATACATTCCATTGAGGGTACTCACGTGACAATATTAAACAGTGAGAAAATAACAGCTGCGATTAATGGAGAGCCGCCATTTGCAATGTAATATTTTAAGTTATTTATAATTTTATTTTAAATTTACGTCTGTTATAAAACTTATAGCAATCTGCATGGTGCATGGTTTATATGTATCTACACGGTGTATGGTTTATACATATATCAAATATATTTTAACTCCGTTATTTATTCAGGAATACATAATGACTGTCTCTTCGGGACTCAATCTCCAAATTCATAATTCAAGTATATGTATATGTACATAGGAAAAAACAATTTACTTCGCGTTATATTTATTTTAATGACATTTTGCGATAAATTAAAATTTATAATATGGATAAAATTAAAGAATTAATGACTTCTTGAAAATTTTCTGAAAAACTGATCACGAAGACCGACTGCGAAAATATAAAGATGCTACCGACTGGTATACGCAGAGCAAATTTTTAATAACGGGCGCGTCAACTATCTAGTACCGTTGCTGTGAAACGGTTGAGATGAAGTTTTAGGAAAAAATTGGGGCGAACGATTATACAAAAACAAGGTCTATTTCCATTTGTTGAAAGAAGAGCCGCGATACTTGCTCAATGAACCCTCCCTCTCATCCTGAACCGCCAATTCCTCGTCTAGCAGTAACTCAAAGTTGCCCAAAGCTTCTGGGGAAGGTGATTTATTCCATTTCACGCTGATCGGACCAATCACAAATTAATTTCTTAAATTAACTTGAGATTCTTTTTACACAGTCCCTGATAGAAATACTTTATTGAAAGTATGCAATTGATGAAAAGTGAAATAAAAGTTATTGAATGTTTCTCGAAAAAAATCGTAATTTTCCGTATGGATTTCGATGTAATCCTGTGAAATATAAGGACAGTTAAAATATACCGTTAAAAAATAAAATAAATTAATAAAAAATTATGAAATATTAGATATAAAATTTGCTATTGTGAGTTTAATTAAAAACTGTTGCTTTTTAGTGAACATTTTTTACAATGATTTTTCATGAAATTGTTATTGAAATATTAATGACATGATAATGAAACGGGGTTTAACTGGGATTTTCAAATACGTTTCAGCAACATTTAATTACATTTTTAGTAAAATATTTCTACCAGGGAGTGAAACGAATATCGTACGCTTACTCGGGCATACCATCCGGAGGCAAAACCACTGACATAATATTGTCGATTAATTTATACTTCAAGATTCTGTCGTTCACAGTCGTGGATGTGAGAGACGGCGAGGCGTTCACCTGGAAGAAAAAAGGCAAAATTCGTATATTTCAAGTTTTATACCGAGGCAAATTTATGAAGGCCAAAAAGCCAACGTACCTCGATCAGCCACGGTTTTAATTTATTGTCGATAATAATATCATATCCATAACATTCGAAACAGTGCCGGTCGTTTGCCATCACCGGTGCCACCGCTTTCAGCGAATGCACAATACACCAAGAGATATTGGCGAACAGTCTCTCCGTGACCGCTTTCCCACGCGTGCTTTCCAGATAGAGACGCAAATTCTGCACACTTAGCTTACCACCGTGCTTACTGTTGTACTCGTCCTGAAATTCTCGTATGTGAAAATTCTCATTGTACAAAGAATATTCGCGCAGTGTCGCTAGAAGTTAGTATTTTAACAAATTAGATATCCAGTGATTAGATTGTGTGAAAATAGAATAAAATATAAGATTCCAGGATTAAACAACAAATTTTCTTCTAAAAAGGTATTAAAAATCTGTCTTTACAAGCGGCTTTTCTCAAATAAATCTGCCCAGATAAAAATTGCTTACTCTCTAACTCTGATGGAAATATATATGTACATTTTACTGAAAGTATAAAATTTTATTGTAATACACTTGGAAATCTTCCTTAATTGACTTCGTTTTATTATTATTTCATCACCATTTCAATAATATTTCAGTGAAAAATTATTTTCATTAAAAAGTAATATATATAGTTACACATTTAGCAAACTTCATAAATCTAAAATATTTTATAATTTTTGTATTATTTTTCAACAGTTGCTTTAATTTTCCTTACGTTTTGCAGTATTGCCTTGAATTTTATAAGAAATATTTATTTCGAGATACATTCGGTAATTTTTCAGTAATTTTTATTTCACTTTTCACATCGATTCAGTGTTTTCAGCAAACTATTTCTATCAGGGAAGAGTTGAATTTGGTTCAAACCTTCTCAAAAACTTGCGTATTTGCGTTGAGTGTTCTTATTTCTATATTTTTCATACTTTTAGTAGTCTAATTTGGCAAAGATTATTTTTCGAATTTATTTGTCAAAGTAAAGCAAACAGAGAGATGAGAAACGTATGTGTGAACTGTGAGATGCCATTCTTCTACCAACAATTCTCAGATAATTTTTTCATGAAGGTAGACAAAGAAACAAAAGGTATTAATCGAAGAAAGCACCAACGTGAATAATTTGATAGGTGTACGTACGCCGTGCTTTTGTACGGACACATTCGTCAGATGCACGTACATGTTATCGAGCTCTTGAACGCTGGTGTCGTATTTGACAGTGCAGAAACGGCAGAATCCTAATTTAAAGAGATATGCTTTGAGCGGCCGAAATGACGTGATGAGGACGTATAATCGGAGATCGAATTTCTTGCTGCCGATCAGGAGCGGATTGTCAATATATCTGCCGTGATAAAAATGACCAAGAGAAAAGAAACCAACTGAGTTTTGACTGTTGATAAATTATCTCTATCGCGAGATTCTCGCGAAGGATCACAATCGAAATGTCTTCGATTATTTAAGTACCTGGATATGACATATGACTCTTTTGTCAAGTTTGGATTGAATGGTGTCTTCGCTTCGCGTGACCATTTTTTCAGCTTACTCAGCTTGTTGATGAGAAATATTCCAGCGCCCTGCGATTTGCCACACGGCTTCATGATCCAGGTGCTCTGCGGGGATTTGCGATATTCTTCCACAAACATGTTATAATCTGTGATATGACACAAGTCCACGTAATACGAATACAAATCACAGATCCCTTACGGAAAAAACTCAAAACTGGAGTGTTTTTTCCGTAAGGAATGCGAAGGAATAAGAGAGCTAAAACCGGGTGTTAAAGCGCTACTCATAGTCAGATTTTATATTTAAGATCGTCTTAAGATCCTCTTCAGATTATACTCCGTAGCCAATAAAATGCTGCATGCAACATCTTTAGACAAATTCAAAACGATCTTGAATATAAGATCTGACTATGAATACCAGCGTTAATGTCTAAATAATTTTATTATAAATTTATTGCGAAAAATATTACTTCAGCCAGGGTATAAACCTCCTTTTTACTAGGCGGTTGCCTCACTAATTCGACCACTGAAGTATGTGGTACTATTTATCGCAATAAACAGTCTAATGTTACTACTCGAATGCCACCTTTTGTGACTGTTTTCTCACCCGCGGGTAAGATGAAAGTGACGGGTATAAAATCGAGGTACAGATATTTGCCCGGACCCTCCGCGCGCTCCGCCAAAGGATTTCCCTCTCTCTCCAAGTCCTTTCGGTATCGCTTGATGTTCTTCACTAAGAGATCCTTACGCGTGAGTTCATAGTGATTTGGGAAGTGATTGATGATTCTAACATAAATAAATTTTACTTTCTTTTCCAAAATTCCTTGAATTTCTAAGAAAATTTCTGTAACGTTATCTTCATTAAAAAATATATATATTAATTTTAATCAGATGCGTATAATAAATATCTCTAAAAGAGATTGTATGTACTAGAAAACTTGAAATTATATAACAGCCTCCATTCTTAAAACATACCCGTTTAAAATGTTTTGGAAGTAAATGTTTAAATTGAGATTAAATTTTATTATCGATAATATAATCAATATCTCTCCGATTGGAAGGTCTTACTGATTATCATCCATTCTATATCCAGTTTCGACACTGAAGATACTCCTGCAGGATTGCGTAACAGCCCTACGATAAATAATAAAATGCCACAATAATCCTAAGTAAAATCTACAAATTTTGTGTAATATATTGCAATTTTTTATTACCAATAAAAGTTCCAATCATCCTCCGGACCAACCTGCGTCCAGCCGCGTTTCTCGAAATTGTGTACGATCACAGACTTGTCCACATCTGTGCAAAACGTAATTCTCGTCCGATCCATCCCGACCGACGGTACTCTGTAATCATACCATCAATTTTTTAATCGCTGTTGAAAGAATCAATCGGCATTAATTTTCACGTTGCTCTGAAGAATGGAGAGATTATTTTCTTGCGTAATTGTCCTACATATATGTCAAAGCTAGCGATTAAAAGAGCTACTGTATTTATTAGCAACTGAAGATACACTTTTATATACTTAAAAATTATTTAAAGATGGAAAAGCATATGAATTCATAGAATAATAATTTTAAGGTAATCGTCGATGAAGAAATTAATTAATTTTTCCGCAAAGAAATAAATCTAGCATTTAAAAGCTATAGAAAATTCGTAAGAATTTTGAAAAACAGTAGATTTCTTCAATTATCACTTTTATATTAATGAGGAAAAGTATTTTACGCTAGAAAGCTATAGAAAATTCATTAGATTTTTAGAATGAAATATTTAGAATGAATTATTTAGAAAGAAAAATTTAGAATGAAATATTTAAACACTAACACCCTGTCACGGCTCTTATTTCTTTATTCCTTCAAATTTATGTTTATCACATTTGAGCCATACGAATTTTATTAATTTGAAAATTCATTAGATTTTTGAAGAAGGAACAATTAAATTTCGCGTAAAGAAGTTATAGAGAACACACGATAAACTCGAATAATCTCAATTTTCTCGAAAATGCGAATTCAAGATAGTTTCGGAATGAGCTTTTCAAACATTCGCTGACGATAGGTGCCTGAAGAGAAATTCTCTTGTTGGATATCGTGTTCTAATTATACATGTAGTCTTTTAATCATCTCGAGCAGCGTAGTTGTATTTGATTGTCACGAATTTCATTTACCTGCCATAAACGGCGTAGGGATTTGAGCTCGCAGCTCGTTTGCTTTCCGTGGCCACGTTCAACGCCATGTTTTTGATACTTACGAATCGCGTTGTTTAATCGATATTGCCTTTAATCGACATACCAGATAAACCTCAACAAAGCAATATATTTCAGTAAATTAATATTATATGCAGGACAGTAAATCATGTTACAATTAAAATGACATTTGTTGGTCTGATAAAAACATTTTATAACTTGTTCTGAATAATATTTATAAAACAGTAAGGAAAATAATTGGCAATGCAAACATGTAATTTATTGTTGGATTTGACTTCCAGATTGGAGCTATGTTGTTCTTGATTTAGCATCCAATGTTTCGCGGACATTTCAATTCATGTCAGGATGAGAAACAAGAGAAGTAAACTGAAATGCTCAAGAAACGTCGGATTCTAAACCAAGAACAACCATGGTTCTAATCTGGGAGCCAAACCTAATGATATAATTTATTCACCGCGGTAAAACACCGTAAAAACCTTAAATATTAGACAACTAATTTCTTGGAAACAGCAAATGATAAGAAAAGTTATTTTATACGGTTTATTATACGTTAAAAATTTATATACTTGCATAAATTAATTGAATAACAAAGTGATGCGCCTACCATTATGAAATCTCTTTCCATCTTTCAGTTTTGGTAATATATGTTGTGAATATATTAAAAGTTTCCGATGAATTTGATATCTTTTAAGTAACCATAAATCTTCATCAGTTAATGAAATCAGTAATTATATACGTTTGTGCGCGGATCAGTTACCTCCGATACGTTTCTAGCTAAAGACATTGTATTATTTAAAGAGGTTTCATCAGTACTCAGAACTGGAGTTTTAATAATCATGAAAATCATACTGTAAATGTGTATATATTTTTTTATATGCCTCGGTGGTCGAATTGGTTGAGACGCCCGCCTAGAGGGAAGGGAGGTCCACGTTCAAACCCCGGTTGGGGTAATGTTTTTCGCAATAAATTTTCTGTATTATTAAAATTGCCATGTATATACGGCCAATAAAAATCACTGATGTTAATTACTGCTGGCGACTTTTAAGAATATTCTCATTAAAATATATAAATTATATAAAATATCATAGATATAATTTAAATATTATATTAAATCTTTCACTTAATTTTAAAATTGTGGTTGCTCAGTAAGATAAATAATCTCAGGAATATTAACAACTGGTTTTATTGTTTATAAATGTTCAAATACTTAAATATGTACACACTAGATCCTAAACCAACCAGGCAATCCAGGTGCTTTGTTGGGTTCCAAGAAGTCCTCTATATCCTTCTTAGCCATATTCACACTTTCTTTTTCAAGTTCATCTGTTACTTCCTGAAACATGTTGGGAAACTCGAACGACTGGGTCTTTGGCTGCAAAAAAATGGACAGGATTGATTTTAATGAATTTCTAAATCGTTTTTTGAAGATAAACCAGAGAACAGATTGCGATCTAACCAGCACAACGTAGGCAAATTTCTTGTCGTCCTCTTTAATGATGCAATTGCGTAGTCGTTCCCTCACGAATTTACCAGTAGCTATTTTTGTCCTCACTTCGACTATATCAATATTGTAAATCTTCTCCAAGTAATTCTTTACGTCATGTTCTGTCATTTGCATGGAACAACAAAACGTGACAATGTTTGGTGGCTGCTTCCTTTTAGGCGCGATTAGTTTCATCCAGAAGTTAGGTAGAAAAACCCTTAGTTGTGGATTGCCTCTTTGATATACAGGATAGCTAAATGAAATAACAAGTTAAAATTATATTTACAAAATCGACTTGAAATCATTTATGCACAAGGTATGAAGGCTGGTCTACAATACATGGAGTAAGCTGGAGTAAGGAGTAGGAGTAAGGAAATAAATCCATTTTATTTCTTACTCCTACTTCAGCTCTTAGGCTTACTCTCGGTGCCTCATGTCATCAATCATGGCATTTTGATTCACCGAGAGTAAGCCTAAAGCGTC